AACAAATTGTGAAACTCGCGGGCGGCGAAAGACATGGCTTTGTCCATTTCGTGTTTGAAGTTCTCGACGGCTGAGAGAAGGATTTGGAAGATGTATGGAGCCGAGGACGCAAGGTTTTATATCTACGAGATTGTACGCTAGCCCAGAAGCTGTAGAAGCGCGAGAATCGTCGTCCATGACTGATACATGTAAATGGCTCTGTGTAGAGTATCGCTGTGCTGGATGACGCCGGAAGGGTAGTGACTGCCCATGGTGCTTCCTTCAGCTCTTTTGAAGTTAGTCAAAGAACTTGAACGATGCGAAAGATGGAACTTTTGCTGTCACGAGGGCAAACTTCATTGCAATCCAATGGAGTGGTTGCTTTTTTTTTTGCAATAGCCGTACGTATAAGGACGATAGCATAAATTCGCCGCATTTGATCGACGCCTATAGACGCTTGTTCATGCTGCTCGTCAGATTGGGATACCATTAGAGGTCGCCGAAGTACGCCATAGAGCTTGCCTGATGAAAGCTGCAATGAAAGCGTGGAAGACGATGAGGATATGCCAAAAGCTGTGTTGTTTGCTTCTTCACCGACCTCCATTATTGTCGATCGCTTTCTTTCAAACGTGGTCGTTGTGTCTACCATCAGCCACGGCACGTGGAGCAATCCATCCCTCTCGAGGTACCGGCCCTATGTCAGGCACTACCCGTGCAGCCGGATCCGAAATTCGCGTAAATCGCGGTCAGTGTGATGAACCAGCATCTAACGAACGTGCGGGTACTTGCGTCGCGTGTGTGAAGTCTATCCCTAGAGTCAACGAACCAATCACCACGAGTCCAGCCGCCACGAGCAGCAGATGTCGTTTCAAGTCGCGCACCAAGTCAGGAACGCGACTGCAAATCGCCCGCTTACCCGGGCCGAGTCAATCCACAGAGGAGCCTGGTCGTGTGTTACGTGACGGCAGCGGGTGAAGTGCCAACTGGTGCTTGCTGACCGTTGAGCGCTCAGCATGGGGCGAAGAGCTTGGCCCGATCATTGCCACGAAGGTCGATTTGAGCGCATTATTGTTCCGAGCAGTGTGCCTGAGACTGCAGGGCGAAGGAACAACAAGACACGTTACGAAGTCGATCACGCGCATGCCAACCGCAGCCCAAGATTACGGCAGAGAAATGACGAGTGCGCGGTAATCCGCGTAGCGTCGCCTCTAAGAAAGGCAGTTCAGACGACTCCAGAGCATACGCCGCGACCAATAAGAAGGGTTCTGGCTAGATGTAACCTTGTATTGTGTAGATCCGAGTGAATGGTTCCTTCCGTCGTAGAGGGCAATAAGAGGTCAGTGCGAGGATGGAGCAGCTGTAGCCGTTGGTGCATAATGGCTTGCAGGATGCAGCGAGGTTGCTGCACGACAGCTTGCCCTTTGACTTGGAATGGCAGCTGCGGTATTTGTTAGTGGCTAGAACGGGATACCAGGAGTGTTGTGATGCATGGGGCTGGTGTAGCGAGTTGCGGTGTGCATGGTGAAGTGGATTGGGAGTGGTGGGGAGGAGACGATGAGGGGCGCCATCTCAGGTTGCTGCATGGCTGCAATGCGGGGCACAAGGTTTGAGGAAGTGCCCCTCTCCTTGTGTATCGCGGAACTGCAAATAATAGACGATGAGATGTAAACAAAGGTTTCCAGGCCTTGTATCTTGCGCGGTCTTTGAAAATCGCTACATGAGATGGCCTCCCCTCGTTGACCAGTGTCAAGAGTGGCTTACCAAGCATTTGTGAAGCTGTGCGGGACACGACCGAGGTGCAGCAGCGCTTGATGGAATTAGCTTGGGCTCGACGATAGTATTTGCCGGCGCATGTTTCGGCGGACCTCGGGAATGGAGGAGATGGTGACAAACGGGATCACGAAAGGGGCCATGATGGTGCGTCACAGTGCTTGGTGGACAGCAGAAACCAGTCAGATGGTAGTGGGAAGATGTCATGCTCCGGATTGGGAATATGTCTCAGGACGAAATTGATGGTAGCCATACGTCAGCGAAGAGTGGAAGGCAAGCTGGCAACGCTCCACTGGATGAGCTCATGGCTATTCAAGGTATGAGTGCGCTTTATTGTTATTGAAGCAGCAGTATATAGCAGAGTCACAAACAAAGACAGCTAAGCATGTGCCGTTTCTTGTCATTGCTAGGACAAGGCTTCTTCGCCGATGGCCCGCACACTTGTGAGATTGCAGCGGTCAACTGCGACGACTGGCGTACATGAAGAAGATGAAAATCGCGCAAGCCAGGCCTGTTGCGTCAAGACGTACACGGCTTCGAGGCAGTGCACACTGACCCATGGATTACCCCTCGCACACCTGAATATTAGACGTGCCGGCCTCGTGAAGAGATTCCGAGATTCGTCGTCCCCAAGCCCGCCCAGCTCGCTGTTGTGCTGCCCATCGCGGATACCGGCCACGCAGCCCTCGCCCAGCCTTCGACATCATCTGCCGCTGATCCGCATTTGCTCGGCACGCGTGCACAGCCACTCTGCTGTGGCTCCCGGACCCCGTGGTGGGAAGCAATTTGAAGCCGCCCCAGACCTCACCGCGACGGCGTTTGTCAGCCCGCCCACGCCTTCCACACTGCGCGCGCCTGCCCGACCTGCCCGTTTGCGCCTGGCGACGAGTCCTTCACAGTCACCGTGTTTCTGCACTACAAATCGCCCCACGCGCGCCTTCCGAACCTCATCTCCACCACCACCCGCCGACGCAGATACGCCGTTTTGACCGCCGTGCAATAACAGCACCTGGGCTTCTTGCCCGCGAGACACCTGCGTCTCCGAACCCATATTCTCCATAGAAAAGACCCACACCACATCCTAGCCGCGCCGGCCAGCGAGAGACGAAAAGCAAGGAATATGGCGGCTCCCACGACCAACAACCCACCCAGCACAGCGCTCAAATCCACGGGCTCGCCGTCCGCCTCCGCCTCGACGGCCTCTTCAGTCCACTCGCAGCCCGACACCAACGTCGTCCTCCCCCAGCCCGTCGTCCACCAATCTGGCGCCAGCAGCGTGCAAGCCGCCGCCGAAGCGCTGCTCAAGCCCAAGAAGCCCACCATGACGTCGCGCCTCAGCAGCATGATGGGCATAAAGACCGCCCACATGGACAAGAATGGCGACGTCAAGGCCACCAACGGCACCTCGCCCAACGGCCGCCCCCCGCCTGCGCGCCAGGGCTCCGTCACGAGGAAGGAGGGGCCCGGCGCTCCCTACAAGCGCTTCTGGCTCAACGACGACGGCTCCCACGAGCATGTCCTCAAGGCCGCCAAGCGCCAGGAGAAGCTTTCCGACATGTTCCAGAGCCTGATGCTCGGCAAGAAGAAGGGCGACAACGCCGAGGACCAGCCGCTCAGTCTCATGTCAAATTGGGTCGACGTCATGCGCAACGAGAAGGAGAAGCTTGCCGAGCAGAAGAACGCCGTCAACGCTCTCCCGCAGACGCTGGTCCAGAAGTACGGCAAGTGCCAGGAGGTCGTCGGACGCGGTGCCTTTGGTATCGTCCGTGTCGCACACAAGCAGGACCCCAAGGACTCGAAACGAGAGCAGCTCTACGCCGTCAAGGAGTTCAAGCAAAGACCCGGCGAGTCGGCCAAGCGGTACCAGAAGCGTCTCACGTCCGAATTCTGCATATCCTCTTCGATGCAACATCCCAACGTCATTACCACGCTCGACCTACTCCAGGACGAAAAGGGCACATACTGCGAGGTCATGGAGTACTGCTCTGGAGGTGATTTGTACACACTCGTCCTCGCAGCTGGCCAGCTCGAGGTGGCCGAGGCAGACTGCTTCTTCAAGCAGCTGATGCGCGGCGTGGAGTACATGCACGAAATGGGCGTCGCACATCGGGATCTGAAGCCTGAGAACTTGCTCCTCACCACACACGGGTCGATCAAAATCACAGACTTTGGCAATGGCGAATGCTTCCGTATGGCCTGGGAGAAGGAGGCACACATGACGGCTGGTCTCTGTGGCTCAGCTCCCTACATTGCACCCGAGGAGTACGTGGACAAGGAGTTCGATCCCCGTGCTGTCGATGTGTGGGCTTGCGGCATCATCTACATGGCCATGAGGACCGGGCGCCACCTCTGGCGTGTGGCTCAAAAGGGCGAAGACGAGTTCTTCGACCGCTACCTCGAGGACCGGAAAGAGGAGGAGGGTTATCGACCCATTGAGGTTTTGCGAAGAGTGAGTCTCAGCCTATATCATTCTTGGAATTATGCTAACAACTCCCCAGCGACAATGTCGTAACGTCATCTACTCAATCCTCGATCCCATACCTGCCCGCCGCCTGACTGCACACCAAGTGCTTGCTTCTGAATGGGTCTCCGAGGCCAAGGTCTGCCGTGCAGGCAACGAAGGCTTCTAGGCCACTTGATTACGGCTGGACCTCCATATTCTTAGCCTTCGTCCTCGCTCACACGACACGGATCTTGAGCCATTTGTCTGGATGTTTGCGTTCGTTTCTTGACTTGGATTTCTTATTTTGGACATACCCCCTTTACGCCCGATGCCACAGCATAGCGAGATTTTGGGCATCGGCAGCTTGTTGCACTCTCGTATGGCGTTTTCTCCTCTCGGCATCACGGATCACCATAACGATACACACGAGTACTAGATGATGGCGTACGACGTTGAAGAGCGATGGTGGCGGAATGTACGGTTTGGGTGTAGACCTTCGCTCGCTTGTTAATGGATACTGGCGGCTTGTATCACGGTTGCATAGGGTAGAGCAGCCCGTTATGAATTTCTATACGAACAGCACGCATTTGTATATGAGCGTGCCGCGTGCCACGCTATCAGATATGACCCTGCATATGTCTACCATGAATTTACACATCCGAGCAACTTAGAACATGACATGCAGAAGTGTCTTGCAGAATGCAAACATTTCAGATCACATGCATTGGACGTGAGTCAAGTATGGCGGACATCTCTATCTCTTGGCAACGTCATCGCTTAAACATTCCAAGGTTGGAGGCGCCGCAGCCATTCACTAGGCAAGCGGTGAAACAATCAAACGTGTCTTGACGAATGCGAACGCCTGTTCACGCCGCGCCTGCAACCCCAGCTCCTCCTGGCCTACCCCATGTTCCTCCTTGACTTCACTGGGCGGCTCGAAGAAATGCAACCAAGCAATGCTCACGACTGGCACTCCGCTCCGTAATTGGGCTCTCTTCCTGCTGCTATGCAGCGCACCCGCGTCCACCCTCGCTGAGGCAGCGAATGAGGCGCCTACCGTTGAATCGAGCGCTACTGCACACTCAGGTGCCACGACGCAGCATACCTCTACCCCCGCGCCTTCGCCCACATCCTCGTCGTCGCCTTCACCGTCGTCCGTTCGGAGATACACCAAGAGTCAAAGCACGTGTCCGTACCGCACCATAAACTACATCACGCATACACTCCCGCAGCAATGCGCAAAGACGAGCTGGTCAGCGCCCCCCGAGGCAGGCGCGACTAATGGCACGGGCGCCGAGGAAGGAGCTCTAGCTGGTCTACAGACTCCAATACCTGGTTTAGATGGAGGACTAGAGGGCATTGCGGGAGGAGACAAAAGCACAACCCCAGCAGTAGCGCCCCAGGCTGATCCGACTGGCGCAAGCTCAACTGCATCTAGCAGCGACACAGCAGGCACAGAGCCGGAGCTTGACTTGGAGGCGGACTCGCCATTCGACAACGCCAATTTCCTCTCCTTTGACGAGTGGAAGAAGAGGAACCTGGCCAAGGTCGGTCAGTCACCGGAAAATGTTGGACAAGGACGGGCAGCAGGCACAGACCAAGCCGCACGGCGACGACCCGTCAACGTCAACGCCCTGGACTCACTCGGCGACGAGGGTGAGATCTCTATCGACTTTAGTGGCTTTGGCTCCCCGGACGATGAGAACGTAGCGAACAACTTCCAGCATGGCAAACAAAGCGCGGATGCTTCAAAAGCTGCTGGCGGAGAGGGCAAGGTTGCACCAAGCTCATGGGCTCTCAGCAAAGACGCAGGCAAGACGTGCAAGGAGCGCTTCAACTACGCCTCATTCGACTGTGCTGCTACCGTGTTGAAGACGAACAAGCAGGCGAAGAGCTCGTCTTCCATCTTGGTAGAAAACAAGGACAGCTACATGCTGAACATATGTTCCGCAGACAACAAGTTCCTCATAGTAGAGCTCTGTGACGACATTCTCGTGGACACCATCGTTCTCGCTAACTACGAGTTCTTCTCCTCCATGTTCCGTCATTTCAGGGTGAGCGTGTCAGATCGCTATCCCGTGAAGATGGAAAAGTGGCGCACGCTGGGCACGTTCGAGGCACGGAATTCGAGAGACATTCAGCCTTTTCTCATTACTGAGCCGCAGATCTGGGCAAGATATCTGCGTGTGGAGTTTTTGACTCAGTTTGGCAACGAGTACTATTGTCCGCTTAGCGTTTTGCGTGTCCATGGTACGACGATGATGGAGCAGTTCAGGCAAGAGGAGGAGCGAGGGGTATCGAAGATGATGAGAATCTGGAGGCTGAGGGTGTTGAGGTTAAGAAGGCGGCTGAGGATAGTGGGCCCCTGCCGCCAGAGGAGATACCGATCGAAGCGGTAAAGGATCTCAGCACAAGTTCAGATGCCTCAGCGGCTAACGAAGTTGCTCAACGAGATGTCTCGCCGGAGGTCAAGACTGAGTCGCCTCGTAACGATGTGCCATATGGAAGGCCTCCGTCGCCTACAGACATGGCAGAGCCAGTGGTGGATAAGCCCCAGCATCAGCCTGTATCAAACTTGACGTCTATCTCATCTTCGTCGGTGATAGGCGATCAACAAATCACGAACGAGAACAGTACAGCCAGCGGGGAGACAAAATCGTCCGCCGCCCCTTCGCCAAGCCCGACAGATGCCACTCCGCAAGTTCAGAGTCCTACATCTGACGCCTCTGCGATCAACTCTTCGAGTTCCATGTCTCGAGTCGACAGTGCTACAACACAGACTACCAACGCTACAGGCTCCTCTTCGAGCGTTCCATCAGCCAAAGCATCAAACAACAGCACCGTCGCAAGTCCACCATCGCAAGGACGAGGGTCGTCTACACAGCCAAACGCGCCTGCACCCTCAACGCAAGAATCATTCTTCAAGTCGATACACAAGCGCCTCCAGTACCTCGAAGCTAACAGCACGCTTTCACTACAATATATCGAAGAACAGTCCCGCGCTCTCCGAGATGCGTTTGTGAAAGTGGAAAAGAGGCAACTGGCAAAGACAGAGAAGTTCTTGGACCATCTTAACAGTACCGTCATGCTGGAGCTGAAGAGCTTCCGCAACATGTACGATCAGCTATGGCAGAGCACAGTCATCGAGATAGAGAGCATGAAAGAGCGCCAGCAGTCCGAAATCGGCGAGATAGGCACTCGTCTAAGTCTAATGGCGGATGAACTCGTCTGGCAGAAGAGAATGGCCGTTGTGCAATCCACCCTTCTACTTCTCTGCCTGGGTCTGGTTCTCTTCGTCAGATCAGGTACTCTCTAGGATCCACGGCCGATGTACCAATCGTGCAACAGCTAGGCAGCAAGTACACACAGTTTCTTCGAATCTTCGCCTCGCGTAGTCCACCAGTACCTCAGATACCGCATGGCGCGACAACGCCGTACTTTCCGCAACATGTGGAAGAGCGATGCGTCTGCCCACCTCAGCGACCCCACAAACGACAGCGATGGTGGTGGTCAACACAATCTGTCTGATGCCGAAACTGATGGTCTGAGAAGTCCGGTGCAGATAGAGTATAGTCCGCCTACACCTACAACGCCTACCATACATTCCGCCATACATAGAAACGGCGACCATCGAGACGAAGACATATCAGGTCCACCTATGCGCGTAAACGGCCTTCACAACAACCACGACAACCCAGAACACGATGATAGAAAAAAAATATTCCAACACCACACACCTTCGTCGGCATATCGAACGCAGAAGACCAAGCCGCCCGAATCCAATCCTAGAAAGAACAACACAGTACGGCCGGACCTGCCACCGTGAAACAGGGACTGGTGTACAAGTGGACTAGGGAAGAACGGGGAGAAGTGGATCGCGCTATGGATTGTGAAGGGCGGAGGAGGCGGGCAGGGCAGCAGTGCACAAGGGCGGGGAAGGTGGAAGAGTTGGTTGTCGTCGCGGGGTTCGCTGGATTCGCCGCGCTCATCAGGTTCGATAGACAGTCCAGGGTCGCCGGGTTCGCTGCGTTCGCTGGGAAGTCCGGGGAAGAAGAGGAAGAAAAAGGGTGGGGGCAATGGGAACGCGCATGGTGGTGGAGGTGGGCTTGGGAATGGGGGTGCAAGCGGTGGACAGGGGAAGAAGAAGAGGAGTCCGCGCTGAGGAGGAGTCATAGTAACTTTGACGGGGGCGGGGGGAGTGGGGAGTGACGCATCTTTCACGTGAAGGGTGCGCGATGGTCTTTGGGTTTCAACAAGAGCGAATGGGCGTTGCATCTTCGGCGTATTGGGACAACGGGTCTTGATTACGACGCTTCACTTTGAAGCAGAGGTTCAGGTGGCGTATATAGTCGTTATTGAATATGCATAGCACTGCATACCATCGCACACTTATCTCGAGCATGTCCATGCTACA